TGCTATTGCTGATCATGACTATTATAGCAATACACCTATGATTTATTCTCTGTCAAACCCTTTTATTAACTTATTTAGCAGATAATGTTATTCATACAGTAACTATTCGTCTATTTTTTGTATTATTATGCTCACTGCCATGCTAGATTAAACATGTGTACTTGATCACGTGTGACAGCCCGCGCACATGCCTCTCTCTAGTTTAAATGTCGATCGCTTAAGTATAGCTCGATAAGTCATTCTCTTTACCATGTATATGTGTGCTTGAATCCTATTAATAGCCTTTGCCGTGCCTAGGTCCGCCTTAATCCGATTTGACTATAAATTTACTTATGTATTTACTCGCAAACACATATTAACCTCTCTTCTCCAAATTCACTCAATGTACTTGTAGATTTGTTATCTGTGCTATCCGCTAATAAACGGTAGTTGCCGCTTCTTATCGCCTACGGAATTCGAACACCAATGGGGATTTATATGTTAACGGTTATCAAGGTGATTGATTCACAAAGCTAAACCACTATAATTTTATTTTGCTTTGAAACATTTTTGATGGCAAATAATAAATAAAGGATCTAGTAAAGGATCAGAATGTGCAACCAATATGTACTGTTCACTAATTCTAGTATATTGAATGTATTATATATATATGCCTGTCTAATTATTTAAAACATGCAAACTGATATCATGGAACTTAATAAATCACTATACAACTTACATCATGGATTCTACATTTCATTAGGTTTTTGGAATAAATCATAATTTATGGGGATGAATACATCTGAAATAAACATTAGGTTTTCAGTGAGATTAACATTAAAAAGGAATGTGATTATTATATGAATCGTTCATTTAAATACAGTTCTATATTAACTACTAACAGTTAACTTTATCGCTTGAAATAATTACATCTGTCTTCCCAGTTGAATGAATTTTATTCTTTTACTCATAAATATTACAAATCTAAAGTGTAACATATTGACTGATAATTTAACTGTTTAGAATGGTTTTGTGTTTGCCTAGTTGTCACACTTATAAAAGAATATTCGTTAACTAAGTTTAAACAGTGAGCAGATCTTTTGGAGTATCATTTGAATTCAAGACATCATTTCTCAGAACAATTACGTTTTTTTGTTTTCAATATGTTGAGCGGATGTTTGTTCGACGGCTTTGATAATTTATTTGCTTAAACAAATAGTTGACATTTCTGATTATAATACGAAAATGTCTATATAATTTGCTTTGATCAGACTAGTCATAATATTAGGAAATTACTCTGAGGAATTGGACGACATTACTCCATGTTCGTTTATTCAATATTTTAAGCTAAGCTCCTAGGTTTCAAACACATATGACTAACATTGTTTGAAGTATGACGTGACCACTATATATTCATTTGGTTCATATGACAACTGTTATATTTTTCAAACATTCTATCGTGATTAATTATAATGACTTTTTAAACTTATGTATTTATAACAGATCCCAAACCTTTTTTAGTCAACCGCATACGAATTACTTTACAATGGTTAAAATCAAATGTATTCAAAATTTAATTATACTACTTGAGTCACATTTTGACCTTGTTAATTATTCGTTTATCAGCCTTGACTGATTTTAAATAAGCGTACGTTTGTGCACTTTTTATCCTATTGATCACATCTCTGTAACTTATTTTTGTGTGGCGATCTATGTCGATTCATGCTTGGTTAAATTGAGTTGGCTCACATACCTCCTCTGATCCATTTCATTTCGCTCTCTTTTCTTCACTTCCTTCGTTGCGCTTCTCTGATTGTTTATCCAGATCAATGGGTGTACAAAATATCTATGCATTCAAAACTTCATTCTCGTATTTGACTTATTTTATTCCGTTATTCACTAACGCGAGTTAAGTCGATGATCATGTACGATGATTGGCGTTATGTAAATATTTCAATAGCAATCAAGTTAGATTTAGGGCCAATGTCATAATTTTCAAAATAAGGCACGTTATTGAATTAAACATTGGTATATGTTCAAATATTGAACTTAAGCATCTGATAGGGGATACATATTGGCTCTATTTGATAAAATGAGACAGATACAATAAAAAAGTTAGATCACGGTTTTTCTCAATTCAGTATAATAATTATGATAACTGCTTAGAATAAAATTCTTTTTATTTTCAATTTAATCATTTGCTCAATATGATATTAATTTCATTTTTAGTATAATTTTTGTTTAATTTATAGTATTGTTTATATTGAATTAACACAAACTCTGTTTAATATGAGATGTAATATGCAATTTTGTGGTATTTTCATATATGCGATTTACTTGATTAGTAATTAATTGAGTGTACAATACATTGTATAAATTAGTGTATTTTTGGCTAGGGTTGTCATGTTCTGAAGTGAATTAATCTTCACTTGTACCAGATTATTTTTTGTATTCTTTGAGTCATATGAAATGTATTTGTTCATTATTTCAAGTACAAGTAATAAGAGAGGAGGATATAACATACATAAGTAAATAAAATTATATGAACATCTATAGATTGATAATAAATGTAGCTTGGGATATTTTTAATCAAAGTAAGAATTATTAGATGTACAAAATACATTGAGTTCACTACGGATAAATATATTTTACCTGAAGACATACTTTATTCATTCAATGTTTATATTACTTTTAAACAATGAAGAAAACCAAATACATGACTATATTTTTATAGATCATGCAAAAACTGTTTAGAATAGCTGACAAGTTTACAAAAGAATAAGAAACAAAATTGTCGAATAGACTATTTAGTTTAAAATTCATTAGTATGTCGGGTAATGATAAAACAGTAATTTCCGGAATTTTCAAAATACATAAATACATTAACATTTTTACTTAAATTACATTTACCTTAACTAATTTATTAATATTGTGAATCCTTTATATAACACTTGCGACATGAATTCTTTTATTATTAATATCATAAATCAATAAGGACTTTCTTCAAAAGACTTGTATCTATGATGTAATGCATTGGAAATCGAGCATATTGACAAGGCATAAAACCCTCAAGTTATTCATTATCAGTAGGTTTTATAACATTTTAGAGTAGAGTTGTTTCGCCTGATCATGGAACGTTACCAAATATGCCCTAATTTTTCTCTGTTACAACTATTATTTGCAGAAAATACATCACAATATAAAGATTTTTCCCAATTACTCGGTTATTACTAATTACCCTCTAACGAGACAAATCAAGCTTCATCTAGATATTAGGTTAATCTGTGTCACATAATTAACTGTGGTTAAAGTCGATCTAAAATTAAAGTTACCTCACAAAATGCAATTATTATATGTATACATATTGTTAAACTAGTGTAGGATTATTAAACTCTGAATGCTGACCAACTACGATACGGTAATTATGGAATGTAACAACTCAACTAAGAACCTGACATTATTCTCCATAACCATTAGTGTATTCTTTAAAAACATAACACTTCTGTCTTAAAGTCAAGTATCAACCTTCTAGAATTCAAAACTAATAATAGTTTTTGGTAATAGTATCAACAAACAAATAACAACAATATCATAGTTTTTAACCTAAAAGCATTCAATTCAGTTCATATTGCAGTATACAATAATGAGTGCATAAAGAAGCAGAACTACTGACAGCCAATTTACATTATTTATATGAACAGACTAAAGCAAGTTATAATTGTTTCAGATGTTATCAAGAAACGCATTTGATAATGACCAGTAGATGATAAATACCAGGCTAAAACATTAGAATTATGTATTTCAATGAAGCACCAATTCAATTAATCTTAAGGCGATGTACTTTTTACTTGTTAAGATTAGGATGAAATGTAAAATTAGAATGATCACACATAATCTTAGATATATTTTGGTATGGTGCTTTAGGACATATCACAGAACAATAACAAACACATACAATTTACATAAACGATTACATAAATAAACCGGTAAAATGAAGTTTTTTTTCCATTTCAAAAAACAAAAACATGAGGTAGAAATATTAGTCAAAAACTTTTTTCAGGTTATACTTTGCTCCATTCTACTGATAAAGAAAGTAATTTATAAAGGGTTTAAATCAGTAATGAAACAAATTTACTTTTACTTTCTTTTAAGCCAAAACGATTGCACTTTTGTGAAATATTAGCTTTAAAGGGGGGGGGTGAATAAAATCTAATCATTTATTTCGCAAAAAATCAAAGCAAGAAAACAATAAAGAACAGGAGAACGAAACAACAATTCTTGCCAGCAAAATATTGTCTATACATAATCAAAAAAAGTTATTAAACAGTAGCAAAGTGTTTTAATGAATTATTTATTTGTGTCATATAGTATTATGTCATTTCTTTGTATAATTACATTATCTTGCCTTTGAACGTACATATGAAATAGTTTTACAAATGCAGTGTAAAAACATCATAGGCAAATCGAGGACACAATTAAGAACTTTGGATACAAACAAAAATTCATGTCTTTTTGTACAGGAAATAGAGATTGCAATGAAGATATGTATATTCAAGCATAGTTTGCTATAAAAATTTATTTTTGTTTTTTAATCCAACATATCAATATGAAAGAGATTTTCTCTGAAACATTAGATCACCAAAGTATAGGACTGGTATTTAAAATGCGTGAACAGAACAATTTAATCAATGGAATGATAAATCATCATAATGTAGCATTAAAATACATGTTTTTACTTCTTAATATTCATTAAAAAATAAGATCTGTAAGCTTACTGCTAAGACACGACATAAAAGCACACCTATTAACAATAGTATACATCAAAAATGAAAGCTAACATTAAGAAGAACTATAAAATGTACACACGTATACACATCACAAAAGAATAGATACGGTGATTTGAAAATCTTATTTTATTAATTATGCTCTGTGAACTTTTAATTTGTTTTTCTTTACCTAGTCTAAATGGAATTGTTGAGTGAAACTACACAGTTCATACTTTAACATTCATTGAGTTTACTTTAAAAAAAGTTGGTAGACATAGTAAAAATCAATAAAATACTACACATGGAGTAACTCAAAACGTATGTTTTGTGAGAATTATTTTTTTCTAGTTTATTATTACTTTGCATTTGTACCGATGTTCTTATATGCCTCCAAGCTTGAGTTTCTTGTTGCTGCTGTTGTTGTTGTTGCTGTTGACGTTGTAATTGTTGTAAACGATATGTTTTATCAAGAGTTCTATCTAAATCATAATGTTCATTAAATCCTGGTGCTTTTAAAATGCTTTTTTGAAATGTTGAAAACTTAACATGATATCTTATTTGCGGATATTGATCATTGATCATTATATTTAGAACTTCTAGTAGATTAATGCATAACTAAAATGTAAATCAATGAAAACATCTCGCATAGTTATGATTATTGAATGACCAAAAAACATTTACTACAAAATCTGAGTATGAATATGACTAGTAAAGTGTCAAGGACTTCATGTTACACAGATCGTCAATCTTGTTATTGAAATATGACCATTTGAATATGTTAGCTCTTTGGATTTTAAAGCATATTGTACATACACTTATCCAAAGAAAAACCTATCGTTTTCTTGTTATACCATTAAAACATCATTTTCAACACTTTCCTGAGTAATAAATCTTATGAACATTAATCTTCGGCTACAAATTAAAGATATCAGTTTTCTGATAAGGATCTAGGAGTTAAATTCGGTAATATTGACCAACAATTTTGCCATAGATACTGATTTTATTTATTGAGTTTACTTGTTTGAATATAGGCTATCATTATATTTTCCTTTGTAAATTTATCAATCAATGCTGAGAAAAGGTAGATAAAGTTTCCTTGTTCAGTCATAATTGAATATTTTCCTAGTTAATTCATTTTAGTCAAACTTTCATTAAACAATTATATGGTGAACTTCACCTCTATGTATTTATATATAAACATACTGTGGTGCGTGCTACTTATATTGATATAAGTAATATATGACGCGAGTCAGGAATGTAATGTCTGGCAGCAGAAGGTGGGGGAAGATCAAGAAAACAAGAGTGGGAATAGAATGCAATTTGTATGAAAATGCAAGGACAATGAAGTCTGAGGCATTTTGAAACAAGTGTTAGACATTTTGCAAATTAACGTTTTGATATATGGTTCTCAAATTTTATTGAGATGCTCTGTAATTTAGTGTTAAATACATTAGGTTGTCCCCACCGTGTTCTGTTCACTACAATACTACTGACAAGTGACATCTTCGGCAGGACTTTTAATATTCATATAAATTATTATAATGTACGTTGATAAATATGACATGTTTTGTTATCAATCAACGGGAGGACTATGAACGTTTTGCATACTTCCAGTAATTTCAGTCCTCAAACTAATAATTACAATAAATATCAACAAGGTCAGATGAAATAATTTACTTTCTTAACATGAAAGAAATTGTTAACTTATGACTGCATAAGATATCAAACAACTTGAGCATTGTGTAATTGTAAATGAATCTACAAACTACAACTCAGTAAAATAGAAAAATGCTACATATCAACTTATAAAATTAACATGCATAGTTATTTTAACAATACATTTTGTTTTAAACATACGGATGTTTTATTTTCTGTCGGAAAAGATGTGTCTAAATTGATTGCCAGTAGATATTCTAATCGTTTTAATAACTTATTCGAATTATTGTTGGTTGAATGTTGTTTTAACCAGAAATGTTTATCATCGATTGTTTGATATGCAGATAGTATCAACCGACAGCTTTTCTGTCCAAATAAATGTGCTAGGAAATTGGTCAGCAGAAATTCAAGTTGAATAATACTTCCGTAAAATTCATATTCTGAAAGTGATTTATCATCGGCCAGCAAATCAATCGTTGTAGAATACATTTCCACATCGAAATCAATCAATAGTTTATGACCTATAAGAAATGGAATGGTGACATAACACAGTTGTGGAGATGAATGACAAAGTATATAAAAATCCTATTTACAGTGTAGCAAGTTATTAGCTTATAGTTGTATCATTGAAAAATCTTTAATTCAAAAAGAAGCGGTTATGTGAACCACGGACCACTTCAATTAAGTTTTTGTGAGTCAGATTTGCAAGCGAAACTTTAGTAACTTACTTTAAACCATCGAAAAGTATATTACTCTATATGTGCAGTGAAGAAAATAAATATTTAACTTCACATCATGATTTGATGAAAATAATAACCACCGTTATCAACATAAAAGATTGTTAAATAGAGATTAAAAGTAATATAACGCATATTTGATTAGAATTATTTGTGTGAGAGTATCAGTAATTTACCATAAACGATATAGTAAGAAACTAAAATTGTTTGGTAATAAAAGTTCCATTATCTTCATCTATATATAGCTGTTTTCTTTTTTCACTCAGTGAAAAACTCAATCCCATTATGATTCAAGCATCGCAAATGACCTATTCGATTTGTTGTTATACAACATGATGTTGCATACAATCTACATGTTTTTGTGAGTTTTTCACCTACGAATCATTACAGTTAGCTTATTTTATATTACAAAAACTCAAAAATCAGTCAGCCGAATACATTTAGTAAAACAGACGTATCTGATTCTAATCTGATTATGAGATAGGACTGTGAATATTTATGAATTATTGCTAATAGCTCATTTGTTCATAATGAACGATTCGTTATCTAGATATTTCTATTAACCGATTCCTGTCAGTATTTACTCATTCAACAAATTAAATTCGACTGGGAAGTCGGTTACTTTGAGGTTGAGCAAAAATAACAGATGGGTATTAAACAGAAGAATTTTCAGTCTCTTCTACTTAGTACATAAACAATAACGGTGTCTGGTTGGAATACCTATTTAGATAAATTGTGTCCTGGTGCCATCTAATTCATTAAGAGAGTTTTGCAATTAAATTATCGAACTTTTTAATCGATCACATTTATATTTAGAAAAACAAACTAACGATAAAGTGAGGTAATTTAAGGTCACAAACCTGTTAAGAAATATTGGTTTTTCGGAATGAATACATCACAGACAACATGATCATATGCATAACATACACAGTGACGATTAAATTTTGGTAAATAAAGACAACCTAATGATAAATTTGCTTGATAAATATTGATTGTCTGTATTCGCGTTGGAAAAGTAACATTTTGACTAGTACGATTAGATAAAGAATAAGCATGCCAAATTTTCATCTCTGTTCCATAACACATTTCATATCGACAACCAACGTGACAATTGCATAGTAAAGAACAATTTCGTGCAAGCTGCTCTTCTTCTTGATAATCACGCAAAGATGGAATTCTGACAAAATCTTCAGAAGGCATTTGTAGTTTTTTCATCATTTTACAATATACTGAGAAAAAAAAACAAAATAAAAATTTATTTGAAATTGGTATAAGAGTGAAAATCGAAAATTCCCCATTTTGGCTTATTTTGTTTTGAAATACTGTTAAGCTAGTTCAAATACTTAACTAGTCCACCGAAGTTTTCCAGTGATTGTAGGATTTGATCTTTTATAAATAGGTGTGAAATACAGTTCACATAGTTAAATCAACTATTTCAGAGAAAAACCATAATTAGACGGTACTGGGTTTGAGTCCCAGTGCGGATATCAAATCTGAGATGCAGGTACACCGAGCTGACGAGTCCTAAACAGGAAGAAACGAGCGTCCTGGATTCTACTGCTAGCCACTGTCCACCTCTTCTTATAAAGTTTGTAATAATATGATGTAAGTTCTAAATGAATTAATCTAATCTTTTGTAACGAGCTATATACCCTCAAAGGATAAACATTTTATTACACATTCAAAAATATATTTGTAATTTAATGTACTGTTACGTGACATGTTAAGATTTGATCAAACCTAAAAATGCATGCTTAGAGTTATAAATAGAGGGGTAATTTTCAAAAATAGTTGTTATACAACTTATATCTACATTCTAATGGTTAACATAAATTTCGTCTAAAAAAGTTCCTAAACTCTTCAGTAAAATAATATAGTTAGTCGACTGTGTTAAAGTTAAACGGGCTTCTTTCAAGAACCTTAAAAACCTCTTGAAAAATTGTTTATGAATGAGCTCAAAGTAATCCATCAGGTAGAAAACAGAAAGCAATGACTTTTGGAAACTTCAGCTAACAGATTGTATTGAAATCATTAAACAGAGGTAAAATCGGACTGTATCTCATGATGCAAATGGCCCCAAAGTGAATAAAAAGACTATTTTGTCCTTAAAAATATATTAATCTAAACTTTTTTCAGCCTTATCTAGATGAATAGATTGAATATTATCCAATGGTTATTGCAGTAATGATTACGTAATAAATACGAATCTTAGCATAGACCGAAACAGTTTTAGTAGGGTTGAGGATAATCTCAAATCTCATTCACACTTCTACGCTTGAACCTAGCGACTAACCAAAATGAAGCGGAAATTATTATTTGCGCTGTCACAACCCATTATGGAGGGCGTGTTTCGTTAGCCGCCGTTTTCGCTGGCTCATATGAGAAACATAAACTATTTTACGACGGAAATACCACTCCATCATGCAACGGACGTGTCAGTTATACGCTAGTCGGTCATGATGGAAGAAAAATTGCAGGATTGAGGGATTCGAACCCAGGACCTATTGGCTTCGCGCGCGAGCACTTCGTGGGTTGGTTGAAGTTAGACATTAACACCGTTGGATGCCGGCTCGGTGGTTTAATGGTTAAGTGCTCGCGCGCGAAGCCAGTAGGTCCTGGGTTCGAATCCCGCGGGGCGCGGGTTGGTGGATGCGCACTGCTGAGGAGTCCCACAATAGGACGAAACGGCCGTCCAGTGCTTCCAGGTTTTCCATTGTGGTCTAGCTTCAAATGACTCATGATTTCAATCTGTGATAATCCTACTTCTCTTAATAGAAAAGAAGGCCTTACCATACATCCTACTTGGACCTTCTATCCCAACCATTCAGTCTGATCGTATTTACAATTTCACACTAACATATTACAAATTTAAACTCTATCCTATCTTACCATAAAGGTCATACAGGTTTTCATTCTTAAATAATGCACACATACATACACACACAAATTTACATACAAATCACTTATGAATCACCCTTGACGGAAATGACATGACATCAACTTGTTCAGACCTGTTTTTGACTGATCCAATATTATTCTTGCATTGTCCCGTTGTACTATTTAAACTTGGATTAATTTTATTTTGGTTATTTATTCTCTGAAGAAGTGACTTACACTAAGTCACGAAACGTCAGAAAATCTAATTTTCTACTCATTGAGATATTACAAATATATTGTTTTTATTTATTCTCAATGTTTATTTTAAATCTTCTGAACTATTGGTTTCACATCTATTACGTATTGTCTGAATATCCTATGGCTCATTTGCTATTGTACAAAGCAGTATCAAAATCAGGACCTTTCCAATCACAGAATATGATCTGTCATTGATAAATATGAAATGTTGTAAGCCCTACTAAATGAATAATACACAGACTTTCTACAATTTTACCGACTATTAAGTGGTTATTAGCCCGCAATAATTTTTTTAAAATATCGTTCAAACAGTTTTCCAGATGCCTCACACTTAACAACTGTGTCATGACGATCAACGTTGAATCAATAGTATTTTTTCAAAATAAACATGATCATGATAAAGACCACTTGGAAAATCTGTCTACTGAATGATCAGAAGGGGTTTTGTGGAGATTTTAGAAATTTCAATAGTTGAGATCTTGAGTCATTTGAAGCTAAACCACAATGAAAAACCTGGAAGCACTCGACAGCCGTTTCGTCCTATCATGGGACTCCTCAGGAGTGCACATCCAAGACCTCGCCCCCCGCGAGATTCGAACACAGGCCCTATCAGTCTTGCGCGCAAGCATTTAACAACTAGATCACTGAGCCGGCATCCAACGGTGTTAATGTCTAACTTCAACTAATTCACCGTATACTAATGTCTTCAGTGAGCTTATATCTTACAACAGACCTGGTTGAACTCCGCTGGCGACGGCTTCTCACCAAAATCCAGGAAATGCATCTTGAAGTCAGTCACTAGTAAGCAGATGATGGAGTCCAGGTTTTCCATGGTGGTTTAGCTTCGATTGATTCATGACTTCAAATATTTAATGATCACCCAATTTTGGAAATTTAATCTAATACGTATACTGATAAAGTAGGATTTAGTAAAATTATTTTTATAAATATATTATTTGTTGATAATTAGTAAATTCGCAAAGAGAATAAGAATAATTATGAACGACCGTATTGTCAAAAGAATTTATAAGTCTGTCATTCCTACAACATCTAGTATGCAATTTAAGAAACAACAGATAATGAGTAATTTTACTGTATAAACACACTATCCAACTTTATACCAGTAAATACATCTTTCAAATTTTAGTAAAAGAGCCAAGATAATCTCATATGTTGGAGTATCATGTTTCATAGTAAAACTGAACAATTGTTGATAAGTTACAGTTATCACCGTAAAAATGTTTTAGATTCTTTTGGTGAATATCTGTTAAGATGTCAAATAAAATCCCGTATTCTTTGCATTAATCCTTTATTATTGGAAAATGTTCCGTTTTACTTCTTGCCAAGCTAATTTCTTCTACAGTGACAAAATGCTTTGAAAAGGCCAAAAAAACATTATGTATAATGAAAATGGATGATGATATACTGAATATCAATAGCTGACTTACATGGATTGTGAGTTAAAGTTGGGCTTTCTAATTGATGTGTTTCTGGAGTGATTTCTGAAAATCATAATGACAATTTTGCAATATTATTGGAAGGTTAAATAAAGATTTATTGTCAAGAGAATTGATTTATTAAACAATTTTTCAAAATCACTTTTAACTGACGATACAGGCTGCGAAATAACTGTTGTCTGTCTATAGTTTAATCAACTTGGATACATGGGCTTATTAGAACTCGTGAATGCACACAAATATAACATAGAGTGAAAATATAATCCTTCGTTAACTATTTTTCAATAATTATTTATTCACCACCGGTTCATAACGAAACATACCTTGGTATGAATCCGAGGATGGAAACAAAGCGTTTCACATAAGTATAGTGTAAACTTCTGTCTTTTACATGGTTCACACTGTTAGATATAGAAATGATTTGTTTTGTTGAAACAATGAATAGAATACAATTGAAAAATTATTTGAGACAAGTTGTCACATAGAATAAAATGCTATATGCTTCTCAATAAGTCTTGAATAATCTGTGGTTTATGAATGGTCTTAAATTACTGTACATTTTCGAATCGCTACATATTATTTTAGTATACTGTATGAAGCTGTTCGAATAAATTCCCGGCCAACAAAGCTTCTTTCATTCTGAATTAATCTCATTTAACCAATAGAAAATCAGACGGGTGAATGTAACGTTAAAACTAATGTCTTGTGGACTTACGTTTTACTTCAATTCTGTCATCCTTACTAATTATTCTTAGTATTCCTAGTAGTGTTGGTAATTGTCGAGTGGGTTTTTTAAGGATTACATTATTACTGTATAAATAGGTTATTAGATAAGGTATTTTATCTTAATCCGAATAATTCTTAAATATTTACTATTTGAGCACATAATTTAAAACACTGCTGAAATGAACACGATTCTAAGCGACTGAGTTATTTTTTGTCTGATTGAGTTTTTGATTATTTTAACTATGGGTAGAAAAAATGGAATTTTACAAAACCCTAGGTATTAGTACTCCTTTTATTCATTACTGAATACTTACCAACGCAGGGAGGTTGTGTTAAAATTCTACCGAATTCACTGCATCCTGTTAGTACATTATTTGATGGACTTAACTTAGGTCGTGTCACTTCACAACTGCAACCACCAGCCCAAGGACCACTCCATAATCTTCGGTAAGAGTTTAAACAGGCAGATGGATTTAAGTAACAAAGCCCATTTGAAGTTTGACATTCTGAAACTAGCAGATCATAACTTGTCCTGAAAGATTTCAAAAATGTCAACATTCTTAATGCTAACCATTTCAATTATCATGATAAAAAATTTTTATTAGAGCTGTTGATTACACAACTTATAAATCCGTCAAATTTAAGACAAAAATCTTGTATATAAAGCACTGTGCTTTGCCACTGTATAACCCTCACATTTTTTGATACAAATACTTCTCCATAAATGAAGCAAACATGTGTTTCATCTACATGTGTTTATTTACATGTGATGATCATTTCAGGCCGAGTTTTGTAAGTAATTTACCAATTAGTTAGCAAAATCGTATTCTATGTGAAATATATATGTCATGAAGTGACTGTAGTAGTTTATAAACTAATCCAATACATTATCGTTCAGTTTTGTGTCATGATCTGGTACCACTTATTGCTTATATAATGAAACAATAATATATTTCGATAGTTTGTAGTATTTTGGCAGGGAACATCGGAAAAAGCATGTTATTAAAAATCCATAACACAATTTAACTCGGTTTCTTGTGATATGTGTTTCGTAAAGTTGGCTTAGTTACATCCAGACAATTACCTTCTGAGTTTAGCGCTAAAATAAATTGTTTTGAGATGTAAATTGAGAACAAATCCGCTAAAGGATTTCTTCAGTTACTTTAAATACAAATAACACATGATTGCTTGATGTTAAGGGTCTGGAATTCTCAGAACAAACGTTTTAGTTAAATTTTTTGTTTCAGTCCTGTACTGATGTAAAACACAGACATTTTTCAGGTTTGATGAAACAAACTACATCATGAAAGACTTCGTATGCATGCCGGCCACTTTATTATTTTACTGGATTTACTCCACTGATTAATGTGGACCGAAATGATTTGTTTTGAAATAAATTCAAAAACTTCCCGAATGTTTCACGAATTTGTTTGTTGACCAAATACACATAAGTAATATTTCGAGTGGCATACTTGTAGGAGCTGAGACACGACAAGCTGTGAAATACTAAGTTCTGTTTTGGTACCATTCACAAATCAGAGGTTACTAACCCATTAAATTTTCTAAAACTGTTTGATGGGACATAAACATGATTTTTTTCAACCTACTTAGTAGATCATTCGGATTGTAAATTATGCGTATGTACCTAATGGTTCATTTTTCTGACCATATCAAAATAAAGTAGGCAGTATATTGATGGTATGAAAATTATATTCTGCATATCACATTTTGTTACAAGTAAACTGGACAGAATTATCCAATTTATCGGTATAATGATAGTTTTCAAATATAACTTCTATGTTTGCAATATTCAATACGCAGATCTGTCTGAAGATTTTATTCACCTACTTGGATTAAATTCAGAAACAATTTTATTACATTTTTGACAATGGTGGCTAATAAGATATTAGACGATTCCATGAAGTTAACAGTAAGTCATGGTTCGCAGCTAGTTATTACCCATTTGCAAGGCGCACTAGCAATTTTTAGTGAATCAATGCTTCCCGCACCCAGCATCAATAGAATAGATAGACTTTCAATTGGTCACGCCTCAGTTACCATCAATCGTGGTAGCCAAAAATCATGTCTGCAGTCATCTATTCGTATGATTATTACAAAACATATCATTGAAATTTAATAAGTACACAAATCAGAAATGATATTTATCTTGAAGTATTTAAATGATATTTATTTATATTGCATACCTACAAACTGGATCATTCTGACACTTAACCCATGCTTGATAACAATCCATCCTCAATCCATATGACTGACGAATACATCTGGGTACAAATACATTTTGAATCTGCTGACAATCCAAATCACTTACTGTACAAGTGCATGATATGGCTTTATTTACCAGAGAATTTGTTTCCTTGTAAAAAAGCTCTAGTGAGTTTATACACTGATTTGGATTTCTACAGGCAATAAACTGCCTATTCATCTGTGCGCATCCATAACGAAGATTTACAAAATGTTGAAGACAAACAGGTTCACGAAGACATTCATAAAATATTGAATAACATTCCATTTTATTATCTAATTTGAATAAAAAGCAGTAAGATTGAAAAATATCAATGTTTATTTCACCTGTAGAAATAATTGAGAAGTAAATGAGCCTTAAATTACCAGAAAATATTTTACAATCAGAATATGATCTCGACAGAACAATGTGAAGATGGATTTGATCTGAAGAATGTGATGTATTTGCGTTATACATCTCGAACAATCTGGTCACACGTATATTTGTGAAGTCATTTTATATGAAAATTAATAAAGGTCAATTAAATGAAAGTTCAAGTAAACGAAGTGATAATTATAGATGAAAGGGAGTGAAAATAAACATCGGATAGAAAGAACAATAATAAATTGTCACTTTACTCTAGGCCATAAAATGACATAAGAATTATTTAGACAAATTCAATCTTATGACAAATTGTTTCTGTATCCATATGGTGGGTTTGAATTTACGATTAACCAAGGTATCTATAAACCTACCGATTCGCCGTCGACAATTTCTATACGCTTTAAAAGCTGTATTGATGTCAATTCTATGCCTCGTTTAAACTATGTGGTTTGTTATCGATGAGCATGGTTTTCTACTTCCCACGCTTATCGGAACATGTGATATTGGCATATATAATCCTCATCGATAACAAAGCATATAATTTAAACGGTGCACAGAATAAACATTAACAAAGCTTTTAAAACGTCTAGAAATTCTAATCATAATTGATTGATCACTGGGTGGTGAACAATGTCATATGTGTCAAGTTCTATTTAGTGCAGATCGAATGCTATCAACCACTTGTCTTTCTATACGATGTTTATTTTCTCTCCCTTTTATCTCCAATTATCAATTCGTTTACCTTTATTAATTTTCATATAAAATGACAAGTATATGTGTGATCAGATTGTTCGAGATGTACAGCGCAAATACATCACTTTTTTTTAGATCAACTTCGTTTTCTCATTGTTCTATCGAAATTTATAAAAGGAATAAAATGTGATGTTTGATAATATGAATCACTTATTTGAAAACGGATTTCATTCTGTTTGTCAAGTTCAAAATAGAGAATACAGAAGTAAACAACTTGACAGTTTAATCACTTGTCGACATTTCTATAAAAATCATTCTTTTTTATCTTAATTTTCAGGTTGGCACATTAACTACTAGACTTATAGGACTGATGTTAACAATGAAATAATTTTCGAAGGATTTAAGATCACGGTGTTTTGTGATTGATGATATTCTCATCGATCATTATTAAAATATCGAGTTTACTCCATTCTAATTTCTAGCCAATGCATTTCGCAATTGGAATGTTTAAAATTGCATATGTTATATGCTTGTTTTTAATGTTCTATTTCCTCTTAAACCAATGTAACAACTAATAATAATAATAATGAAGGCTAAGCTTTCTTTAAATTAAGTTTTACGATGAAAGTCAGTTTTAATTAACTAGCTAGAATCTGATATCAATTCTAAAACTTTCGATTCGATTTTTCTGTCAATAATGATATTGTTTACTCTGGAAAACGTTAGAATTAATCTTTGGTGACCTTGAATATATCAACAATAGGAAATGTCCTTGTGTTATATATATATATATATATATATATATATATATATATATATATATATGGGTGGCAACTCACCATCAACTGAGAGCAACAATTCAGTTAAAAGCCAGAAACGAATCCTTAGGGATAAGAACTGTTGACTAAGTGAATTTTTATCTATTGACCTAATATATGATTGAGACTATTCATTTCATCATATTAATAAATCCACTATATTTCTACAGAGACGAAATTAGGATATAGTTTTGTAACTAACCAAATATAATTGATAATCTAAATCGCATTTATGTTTTGCACCGTTTTTATAGTTCTCTATAGTCTTCTGTTAGCTCTCTTCATTTCTCCTTGTTTTAATTCTGCTATGTTCGATTACTCGTGCTTTATTTAACAGTCAATATTTTTATAGCGTTAAGGAAATCATATTATTAACAGAGCTTTAGGTTTAATTTAAATCATAATACTAAAGTCTGTCAAATGACAAATCCCTAGCCAACTTTACCCTTAACAGTTACCAATTTTTATTTATTTATGTATTTATTCTATTTGATTCAACCAATAACATTAAAGGTTCATCAAAGCAAGATTACAGTTTAGGTTAATTAATAATGCTTTACCAGCATGAAACATCTGTCTAGTGCTTCTCAATTTGTAATGGTTGTTGAACTAAGATCAGTCCTTAATGTAAACAATAAAAACGTGAAATATACATTAAAATGATTCATCTTGATCGTAACTTTCGTGTTTTAAGTTGAGATTTCTTATTTGAGGATAACTTTTGTCATGACTCGGCATCAAGCTACACTGAAGATTCGGTTTCTTTTACTTTGATACCAATTTATAATTTATCACAAAATAGCAAACATATACAATACCATTCTCTGAATTCGGGCCGGTGATCAAAGAATATGGGCTCCAAAGTTAGTCCAGAATAACCTAAGATCAGGGTGGCTAGTATAAAATGTTCAAGGGATCCAAGTTAAAATGGAAGAGCTTCCTGTTTTTCAGTAGTATTTTAAGATGTCAGCCCGTGACAGAAAATGCCTCCAAGTATTCTGATTAGTAATTCTCTACCAATCTATATTATATTTGATAACAAGATTCACATATAGAGAAACATTTCTTTTTGCACTATTAATAACTTTTCGTGCAGAACCAAAGGAGAATGTAGTTCACGAAGTCAGCTTTACAGCTATCCATCATATACATACTCGCTCTAATGAATAGATTTTTATCACAAGATTATTGTGTATTTACATCATTGACTAATTCAGTTGAAATGGGATGTCTGATAAATTGTTCATTCAGTCTAATTACTTGCATTTGCACAGATGCTATCAAAAGATATCAATACTTACCCCATGTTTCAGAAACAATTGTTTCTATATCAGTTAATTCGTTTGATCTTTGACCACTAATATTAGAACTGATAAAGTGTGACTGGTGTAATACTGATAATGTTTCATTTTCTAAAGTTGTTGAATTATTTTGGACTGCTGTATGATAGTCTGGTGAAACTGGAATAGTTGCTAAACTTTTTTCCAAATTCATATTTACAAAAGAATATTCCAATTCGTTTCCATTAACCAAGTTTATTTCTTGGTTTGATGAAATTTCTGTAGAGGAAAGATCAAAAACAAAAGTGGTAAATAAAATGACTGGAATAGAATGTAGAACTCATGGAAAACCATTAAAATGAAAGGTTATCAGTGATTGGTAAATTTTATGATGATTCCTGAAAAGCTGAAGAATCTACGAGACAACTTTACTGAAGGCGAATGTTACAGTGTTTTGATTTGAGTTTTACGCTAAATACCCGTGAGTACTGAGAATAGGTCATTTTTATACTTGATCACACTTACACATTCAGTAGTAGATATTTTAACAACTTGCCAATTAAAAAAAACTTTCTTTTATTGGCAAATAGAATAAGGTATTTAAGATTTTATAGAAATGTTCTAGGATTACTACAGGAATCTTTGGAAGGAAGAATATGAACCAACAGACTAGAAAATGGGATATCTCATCAAGATATCGAAAATAGGAGATCTTAGCATGTGTGAAGTATCACATTACTATCAGTACCAGTCATGTTCTCAACACTGTTGTCAAACGGTTCAGTAGATGCCCGAATTCGAAACCAACATCTGTCTTTCGTAAGGATCAATCATGTGCTGACTAAAATTCTACACGACGGATTTTCGTCAAAAAATCATTTCAATGGGACTCGTCACCATACATCAACTTCCTTGATATTGAGAAAGCATTTGACTGAATGCATAGGAAAACATTACGGAATCTTTTTTGGCACTATGTTGTATTTGATATGATCGTCATCATCTTAGGTAACTCCTTTGATGAAATAAAATTCAAAGTCGTACATGGAGGGCAGCTCACAGATGCATTCCAAGTGAAGACCGGTGTCATACAACGCTGCCTATACTTGTTCTTTCCTCCTATTTCTGGTGGTTGACTGGATTAAGAGAGGATTTGAGGGGAATAGAGCAATACAATGGATACACCTGGACGATTTAAACTACGCAGACTACTTGACTGTTTCGTACTATACTCAGCAACATGTGCAGATGGAAACAGCCATTGTGACCGCAGCCTCTACAGCAGTTGGCCTCAACATACACACAGAAGAAAGCATGATCAAAATTACAGTGCGAAGAACACCAGCCGAATAACACTTGATGGAGGAGCTCTGGAAGTGGTAAAAACTTCTACGCACCTAGGCAGTATCATCGATGAACAAGGAAGATCTGATGCAGATGTTAACACAAAGATTTGCAAAGCAAGGGTGGCATTCCTGCGATTGGAGTACATTTGAAACTTGAAATAACTGTCAGCTAACATCAATGTCAGAAGTTTCAATGCAAACGTCAATACAGTTCTGCTGAACTTAGCTGAAACGTGGACAACTACTGCAACCTTTACCAGAAATGTACAGGTACTTGTTATATCCCATCAAAGATTAAATTATAGGTAATTTCTGAGATCAATTTATGGACTGATATATTCTTATTGCATAACTGTTAATAAACGATATATATTTGTATTCCTCTTATTATAGACTTTTAACTGATTTATTGGTTACTGTTATATGATTTACTATTCTTAAGTTATACTCAATCCATTAGTCACAATTTCCCATAATCACAGCCACTTTTGGCTTGATCTTGTACAAATGCTACTTTATAGTTTATGATGTGATGTGGTCTGATTTTACCTGCATATAGACCAAGTATGTTTGAAATACATGATTCGTGTCGCGGGAATTGAGATTGACGTTCTGGACTTAACAAGTAGGGTTAAGAGGAAAAAAACCCAGTCGGAACTCTATGCTGCCGTACTGGTGCATGCGTATAAGTCGGCGTATCTAAATTGGCAGTCGTATTTCGCGATAATTGTATAGCTAAGGATATAACAGTAGTTACAAACACTTGTCTACACAAAGTACTCTAGATCTATTGGTTGTATACTGTCAACGATATCCTAATGAATCACATTCCAGCAGAAGTGGAAAATAGAGAAAGACCTTGAGTATGGACAGGTCACACCTCATAGAAATTATTATAATGTATCACAAGGCAAGTCTCAACTCAAAGCAAATGTAAAAGAGGTTTACTAAAGCGCATACCAAAGTACGTAGCTCATATCGATTATTTTCGCAATTTGGTTTTCTTTTTCAAGTCAACAATTCAAAAATTTTAGAAACGATTCAACAAACAAATAAATATCATAAGAGCAACATGATGTAGAGAACTTACCAACACATTTATTATCAATTACAGCCTCTTTATAATCTAAACATCTACGGTATCTGCCTTCGTTTAATTCACTTTTACAGTCACAATTCATATGTGTTTTAAGTTGAAGAAATTTCTTTGATGCTTCTAAACATTGTGATCTAGAAGTATTTAGTTATATGCAAAAATTGAAAAAAATTACATTAGAAGTTACATTAATTATCATTAGTTGGTGTTTTGTAAACTCTCAACTTTATTGTTATTTTTACTCATAAAAAAAATTTGCCAAATTAAAAGTGATAGTTAGAAATGTAAACAAATCAAGAATGACAATATTTATGAAATATGATAAATGGATTGTATTTCATTTCATTCTCTTCAATTACATACAAGCTTATATCTGTAAATTATTTACTAAATTGAATTTATAATAAATAATGAATAAATTATGTGTAATGTGAAATGATAGTTCAGTGTTTTCAGGTTTTCCATGATGGTCTAGTTTTATTTGGCATATGAACTCAACGATTAAATTAATGTGAAAGAAATTAAAAATGGAAGTTTTCAGAAGGGAATTTATTTTGTAATTGTTTAAGGTAATAAGGTTTAGAATGTTAAAATAATTTATTATGAAATTTTTTCTTTCTAGACTTCTAGAAAGAAAAAATGAACATGAAAGGTCAATTCATTAAATTATGCTTCCAATTAGTTGGAAAAAAGAAAGTGGTTAGAATGTCATCAAGGCAGTTGAAGATTAATTACTGTCTTTTTTTCACGAATGAAGGTCATGTATAAGCTTTTTAATTGCTTATGCGAATTTCGCTAATAGAAATGTGAATTGTTTACTGTTGACTTTAAATGACTTCAGTAAATGGTCGTTTTACTTCATGTCTAGTAGGTGATATGCTAGTGAACTCTTTAGGTAGCTTTCTTTTCGAAGCCAATGTTCACACTAAATATTTTGCGCCACGATCGACTTTAAAAAGAAAGACATCTACATTCGCTAATCGCAAATGAAGGTTTGGTGAGCGAACAGGCAGCGCTGATGTAAGTTCAGTGAAATCCGTTCTTTGAAAAGAATGAAATCTACATCTTGCATTTGATTATCAGCCATCAGTAAACGAAATCTCAATAGAATCAAAAGCCTTTTCCAACAATTTTAATAAACACCATTTTTGCGAAGAGGTAAAGATTGATTTTGGTCAGATAAAAATTGACACTCTATTATTATTTTAGATTTATAATTTGGAACACTTATAGACCTTATACTTTTTTATACAAATTTATTTTCTCTTAATTATTTTAATCTTCATCGATGTAGGACACTTTTCTTAATCTGTATACCATAATATTTTCTTCGTACTTTATTTAATTGAAAGCCAATTGCTGTAGTAAGATAATGTTCTACAAAACAAAATGATGACTGGATGGTCCACTACTAAAGTGAAACAATACAAATGAAATTCAGACATAATTAACTTTAAATAAACTCACTTCAGCTTAATACAAGTTCTAACAGTACATAATGCACGAAATTTATTAAGTGCTATGGCACATGCTGGCAATTTAGTGCAATTTTCAAGTAAATCTAAACAACTTGTATTTTGTTTATTTTTGTTCAAATGCTGATCAACTAATTCACTGTTAGGTGATCCTACACTAGACAGCATATTCATAGTGATAGGAGATTCTGTAGTCATCGGTATAGACGATACAAAGGGTTCGACCAATAGTGATGTTGTATTCAGACGTTTCACATTTGTATTCATATTGCTTGTTGATTGAGTAGGTTTACTTTCTGGTTTTACTGTAAGGTAATCAAAATCAGTTAAACAGTTAGCCAGTTTGTGAGAATTTCGAAATTTATGTTCAATAACATAAAAATGATGTTTTATTACTAAATATCGTTCAAGAGACATACATATCATATTAAAACTGATAGAACATATAGTGTATTTGCAACCCATTTGATGAAATACATGTAGTTATCATAGCATTTAAAATTTGATGTTTTTTTATGGAAAAGAATTTTCAGCGCGTATTAAAAAATATTGTGAGTCAGCACAATGGTTTTGCTGGAAAACCATCTAAATAGCAACTTTATGTTTAATTGGTTAGTTCCCTTCATGAATCTGAATAAAGAAGAAACAATAGATGACACGTAATATCATGTAGTCATTTTTATTCATTCGGTGCACGTCAGCCATTTACAAAATTGTTCCATTTGAACTTCAGGAAATTCACGACATTTCTGCATTGTCTATGGTGTTTAAATGATTCATATCATACATGACTGAACCATACCAGTCATCTCTTGAAAATAGTCTTTGGAAGGTAGATAATGAATATCAAAATAGATCAATAAATGTTTCTGTTTTCATGAGTAAACCTGTGTCATATCAAAACTAAAAGCCGAGATGCACTGGGGAACTATCTCGTTGTAATATGTGTCACTACAATCTTGTACATCCCCCACGCTATCTCAGAGTTGAAGATAAACATAAAAAAAATCTTGTGCAGGCTCACTGGCCTGAAGTTTAGGCACTCGTCAAATGACTTGAAGGCTCTAACTGTGTTATGATCGCACAACATAATGAAAATAACAACAAAAAATAATAATATTAGGAATCAGAGGATTTAGCAAGAATATATCGGTTTAGCATGACGTTTATAATTGGAAAACTGTACTTTTCTGAACACAATGACCGCCTGCCGTCACACACTATACAGGACGTAGAACCTTTAGATCTACTAGTCGGTCCTTAACTTCAGCATCACATTCATTTATAAACTTATGTGTTAATCTATTGACATTCCAAACTGATTTGCCTTCACATAAACAGAATAATTTAACAACCTGTTAATCCCACAAGCGGGATCGTGGATGCGCACTGCCAAGGAGTCCTACAATAGAACGAAACGGCCATCCAGTGTTTCCAGGTTTCAACGGTGGTCTGACATCAACCGGTTCATAATAATCAAAAACCTGTTAAGAGTTAGACATTCTCATGGCATACGTTAAAAGGAAGTGAGTGTCATTTTTGTATTTTCATTTTGTCTTCAAACCCAGAGTGATTTTAGGGGAAAACATTTGAACAAATAACACCATACTCAAAGTTGTGGCAGTTTGACCTTAAGATTATTATGCCGGGGATCAATAAACTGACAATAGATGAAAGGTTAATAAATTTTTTAATGGCATATTCAAGCTAGTGGTAATTATAACAAATCAATTCAGACAATGAAATATGTTTAGATTTATAAAGAATTATTCGAAATTCCCATCTTTAAAATCATATCAGTGAATAACACTGTTTTCAGATAGATATTCATCAAGTTTTACTTTAAAATATAGTATATATTTTGTGGATATATGAAATCTATTGAAACAATCAAAAGAATTTGTGAATCAATGTAATGAATTATTTGAGAGAATGTATAATGCTCATACTCTTCAGTCTATAAATAAATACCCATGTGTAAGTACTAATGATAAGTTACGTCACATTTAACCATTAGTTTAATTTGCAAGACAGTTTAAGTTTTCAAGAACTTCAAAACTAAACGTCCCCATCATCCTATTATTTGTTAGTAAGAGCTTAAAATTGAGTAATGTATGGAAAATTATGAATACTCAAAAATCATTTATACACTGAATTGCTACTACTTGTAGAAATCGATTAAAATACTCTGACAAAATGTTGCCTAGCGACATCTACATACAACTACCGTTAATTGGCTATTCATAGAGTCTACAACCAACCAATTATACTTGTATTTATTACGACTGAACAGTTTATATACTTATACATTAGGTACTACGATAACTATTATGAATCGATGAAAAAAATCGAATTAGTTAAATTCCTTCGTCAATTTATAATACTGACAACTAAATAGAGAATTCATCGAATAATATAAAATTTGTTGTCATATAGTTTAACGATTGTCAGTTTTTACTCCGTTTTAGATTATTTCAAGTGCAACTTTGCATTAAAGTATAACGTAGAAGTTGTCTAATCATTGCCTATGCGACTTTTTTTGTCAAAATGTATACCACGTTAAAAGTTTAACGTTCTATGTTAAAAAGTATAGAAAAAAATGTTCACGAGTTACCAGCTAATTCAAGTTCCTTGTTGTCTGAAAAGGTTCGAATAATTTTTTCTGGTTAGCGTTTTTTTAGCGAGTTAGTTTTCTAATGAATGGGGTCGCTAACTTCATGTCCAACCCTCCTCCTTTATCCGGACTTGGGACTGGCAGGAGCCCCCGGGGGGACCTCAGGGCGTCACAAGACAAGCCCTCGCATGGAATCCTCAAGGCCAAAAGAAAAGAGGAAGACCAAAGAACACATTACGCCGGGAAATGGAGACAGACATGAGAAAAATGAACAAGAATTGGATGGAACTAGAAAAGAATGCCCAGGACAGAGTGGGTTGGAGAATGCTGGTCGGCAGCCTATGCTCTATTGGGAGTAACAGGCGTAAGTAAGTTGTCTGTAAAGTTGATGTTTTATCCTCCAAGTATTTATTACCACTTTAAATAACATTTAATTATAAACTGGAACATAGTCTAACGGTGTTCGATTGTGAAAACACTTTCAGAATATGAGAAATGATTATACAAGAAATGTATTAAGTCACTTCATTCAACAACTGATTTGAATTTTACTGATCCAATCTGGTGTGTAAACGACGAACATATTGTCAAATATACTCTTGAATTTAATTAAGATACTAAATGAGGTTATTTTTATAAAAATAATTTTTATTACACAAAACAAAAACCAAGTAACGAATTCAAATTGAAAACTGATTATGAATTAAAAGTAACGATGTATCACATTATAAAAGGTTTGTTTTATTTCCCCACCCCCGAAGAAATATTAGAATCATATGGTAAATGTATTTGTAATACGCTTGTATAAAACGTCTTTAGTTAATACACAATAAATAAGTACTCACTTTCCTTTCTAGACTCATGGCGAAAATTTCCAGATGTATGCAATTCACGAAGAAATATTGGTGGTTCAGCCAAACATGGATGATTGTTTAAATTTTTTCTAAGTAGATTACATTTGGTTAAGTCATCAATCGAACGGCTAGACCGACTATCACATATACAATGCTTTAATCCTGGACGTCCAAGATTCATGGTTCTAAGAGCTGATTGACATTCTCGTAAATATTTACGCTGGCACCCCATTAAACTGCGCTCTAAAACGAATAATTGAAGTGTTATGGACTAAGATTTTAACTCAAAATGAATGGTGACTTTTAGTCCAAATAAATCAATTTACGAAAGATATCTCCCATTTAGTGGAATAAATTTAAATTTAAATCTTAGCATGATACAACTTAGATATCACTTCTATTATACTGACACCTTTCGTTTTCATGTATTATTACTACGTGGACAACATTTAGGGCATTTGATGACGAGTATGAGAAACCGGCTAAAATATGATACATTCCTGAGGATTAAATAGAAAACACTAATGATTCATGCTGTTTCATAAGATTTTAAGAATTGCTATGCAAAAAATTGTACATAGTAATGTTTATGAAAAAGAAACTTTTGATTTGTATAGTTCATTTTTCTCATCTTTCATTCTAATCATAACGATTTAAAAAGACGGAAGATTTCATCTGTTTAATGTTAATGGTATACCATAAGGTAACATGGATCTATATTCTTTTCACTTATCAAAATAAGATCAAACCACATCAAAAAATAAATTGTTTTAAGTATTTTTTTTTTCAAAATGCTGACAAAGCATCTAATTTTCATATTACCAACAATGAATCCACTTTTATCGTTAAAGAAATAATGAGGTCTCAGTTGACACAAAACGTCTTGTATTTTTATACTGCAAGCGGATAAAATACTTATAGACGTCTACTGAAGAATAATGCAGTAATCAGAATGACGTCATTTGCTTACCTGATTACATCTATTAACTTACCAGTGAAAATAAATCCGTACTAGATAGCACTAATTACAAAATCGTAACACAGCAATAGTAAAATACCGGCATTTTACAAAATTTTTATGACTTATCAGCATTTATCGGTTTATCATAATTAATCATCCAACTGTCTACCGTATAGATGATCATATTAAGTTAAGATACTATAAAAATGAGTGATGACTAGTATTTTCCTATTAACTTTGGATCGAAAGTTTTATATATTCATCCGTTATACAATCATTTAATACTATTTTCTCAATTCTGTTATAAGTTTATGACATGTATTACTTTATCTTAAAATATATTAGGAATACTTTATGATGATTACGTTTGTATTTCTTAGATTTTCATGACCAGTTAGAAGGACTTATCTTATTTGTTATCTAATTTAATATTAAAAGATTCAAAACGTTTTTCTCTATTTTACTATTCAATAGTAATGAGTTAAGTGATAAACTATTGATTATAGTCTTACACGCACTAAACTATTAAACGTAACATTTTAATAAGACCAGTTTTAGTTCGAAATGAATGAAAGTGCTTCAAATGAACCTTTTTATTACAACTAACCTAAAACCTTTCATAGTCAATATACCTGTAGTTTTATTCAATTATAATCTTAGCAGTCAATAACCAAGTCGTTTATTGCCGATAAATATAGATATATTGGAAAAAATATAAATGAAAAGTTAACTTTATACACTACTTACCATCAGTCCAATCTCCACAAAATGTTTTGAAAATATCTACATCCACTTTACATATTCCACTAAATAATTCACAATTGTGCAATGCTTCCAAACAATCTATTCTAATTTCTTGCTTTTCAATAACTTCATCAACAGATTGTAGTATGTTTGTTCTACTACTTTCAGTTACTACATTTTTCATTTCATTACCTACATTATATATTGTTGATTTTTGTGGAACTACAGGTATTGGAGTTGTCGGAGATGATGAAGACGGTGAAGGAAAAATAACATTGGCTCGAATATCCCAATCAGTTTGTGTTAAATAATATGGTAAGTGAATTAAACTGATAAAATATAAGTATGAATTGAAAAAATTGCACATGTTTTTCTGGTTATCAATTCTTCTAGTTAACTGAAACTTGAAATTCAAAAGATGCCTAGAGATTTTCTCTTAAATGATTTATAATTGGATTCAATTTGTAATTCTTCAGAAAAGAAAAAGAAAAGATATAGATAACTTTAGAATTTATAGTTTTAAATTTCAATACATTAGGAGTTATTGAATGCGATTAGGAAGATATGGAACAATAATAATAACTAGGAAATTAAACGCGAGACCGATAGGTCCTGGGTTCGAATCTCGCGAGGCGGGATCGTGAATGAGCACTGCTGAAGAATCCCATACCGTTCAGTGATTTCGGGTTTTCCACGGTGGTCTAGCTTCAGTTGACTCGTGAATTGAACTATGAAATTGAATAGCATTTCCAAAATACTTTATGGATAAAAACATTACAAACTTTGAAAAATCCAAGTTAAGTCTGTAAATTTAAATATCCATTATTTTATAGTGTGATGTATTTTATATATGTTCACAGATATAAGTAGTATGTAACATCAATTAAAAGTGGAATGTTTGTCAGAAGACTGGGAAGAACAGAAAGTGAAATAGTAAGCGATTGTAATGACGACAACAACAAGTAAAAGAAGATATGCAAAATTTTTTCAAGTACGGTTTTCATATTTTATGAAAGCACTCTGTAACTTTGAATTAAACAATAAATTTGTTTTCTCCATCCGAGTTCTCGTTCACTATAATAGTACATGTAATTTCGTTGAAAGCAATGTATAAAACCGTTTTTTGCTTATCTTGGCTGAAGGAGCTACACTTTATTTCATACAATACAACAATTCGTAGCTAATAAAATCGTGTTCGGAAATTTCATGCAAATATAAATGTTGTAAGCAACTTATTCGTTCTTGTAAACTAAGTAAATATCAGTATGGGACATGTGGAGATTGTAGTATTATCAAAGTTGCATTCACCCATCGATCTAAGCTAGATCATCATTTAAAACCTGGAAGCATTGGAAGTCCTCTCCGTCCTAGCACGGGACTCCTCAGCAGTGCGCATCGACAATCTCACATGCGAGACTCAGACCCAGGACCTTCGGTCTCGCGCGCGAACGCTTAAGCTCTAAACCATTGTGCCTGCATCAAACGTTTGTGCAAGATCACGAGCCGAATAAATTTAGAAATTAACACCGTTGGATGTCGTCTCAGTGGTTTAGAGGTTAGGCGTCCGCACGTTAGACCCAATGCCCTGGATTCCAGTCCCACGTGCGGGGTCGCGAGTGAACACTGCGGTGAAGTCCCATGCTAGTACGAAACAGTCCTCCATTGCTTTAGGTTTTTCAGTAGTGGTCTAACATTAATCCATTCATGATATTAATCTAAACTCCACAACCCTATGCTGATAACTTGTATTATCCCTCAATTTAATACAAATATTTTGATTTTCTAAATATGCTATCTGTTAAGAAAACCAATGTACAAAAGGGAAGAAAATTTTAAAAAAAATTTTCACCTTTCAGTAAAGTATATTTAGATCTTAATATAAACTCTGTAAATTTGAATGGCTATTTATCTGAGTAACAAGATGTGTAATACTATTAATTCAATTTCTAGCTAAAGATGACATTAAGTGTGAACTTTAAAAAAACCTGAAAATAAGTGTCATTTGAATGAATATTATTTCCCGATATCATTAAAAAACAACAAATAGACTATTCATAAAATTCTTACAAACGCTGGAGATCGATTGAAGATGGTTGGTAAAAAATTAGATAATATTAGTAATGTTAAATGTTAACACCACTGATGTATCACAAACAGGCTACCCATCTCATAAACATAACATGAAGATATGATTATGCAATTCCAAAGTAATCAATACTTATGAATTAATACCTAAGTAGTAAACATGAAATAATTGTTGTATGAACCAATAATGTTTCGTAAACAAGTCATATGTAAAACTTAGTGATTTGATTAAAACCATGTCTTTTTATTTTTAACGAATATTAACCATATTGTAAAATCTACTTTGAAATGATTATATAGTTTTTATGATGTTTCTATTAATGTTTGAGTACTTGAAAATATTTGTTGTTTTACATTGTTACCGTGATGTAGAAGTGATCAAGTTTAACTTTTGTATTATTATTCCACAATCTAATCTATTGTTTACTAAACATCAACTGAATACCTAATAAACTTTATGTATGAGGAAGGATAAATTTCATGAGGAACTACTATAATACATTCGTTTGATTGGCAAAAAGACTGTAATTGAGTTGTGCTTATATTTGTTTAGTAAATCCAAGAATGAATTCAAAATTTTGGTATGCACCTTTCAAGAATTTTATTGTTATGTAAGCTTTTAAATCTATACAACAACAGGTCACATTAAGATTACAATTCCGAATATTGGCTTCATATTGAAGAAGAAGCTGTTTAAAATAACACCACACTATTTTTCTATTAATACCGTCCACTATAGATTAGTATGTAGCAAAAACTAAAGTATACAAAAATATATTCTTATGTTTTTTTCCAAGTAATAAAGGCAATTCAATGGCCTTATGATACTAGTCCATTATATTCAATTATTTTACAGCTTTTGATCTAAAATTAAACAATAAATAATAATTTTGGTGAGAACTTGTCGCTTAATAATTCTATATGGTATACTTGCTTTGTTATAATACTGTTTTGTTGGTGTATCCATTCCTGTTGTTTACAATTGACTGATTACCGGGTAGTCACCAATGACGTCTGACTGGACTTTGTGGTAATGACCAGATTCTATTGATCAAGCTGCAATTTTTCTGGCAGTTTACGCAACTTAAAATCGTGTACAATAACTTATACAGATAAGTATATGACCAAATAATCTAAGGGTAATATTCTAGGCTAAGTTGATGAGTGACACAGGATTCAACCATCTAAGCAGTATCAGCTACCTGAAGCTTACAGTTACACTTTGCTGAGAATTACTAAATAGCAAGTAACCTGAGTTCCGATTATCCTATCAACCACCTACATTATCCGATATGTTATTCGAATTTTCTTAACTAAGAATTAGTCTAGATAAGAATTTTTTAAAATTTAATTTGCAAGAAACAGTAGTATCAAACAGATTTTAGAAATTATACTTAACTGTACTCTCACTATATAGTCCCATTTTCTTGACACCAACTATATGTTAATAAGCATTATATAAATGCGATCGAAAAAACAAACATCTGTATAAATAAGATCATATCTTTTTATGTGAATCAAGAAAATATACATAGAAATAGTTAACAGCTAAACAGAATATGCTGTTACCTATATTTCCGGTTGAATAGTAAGAATATTAGCTTTAATTTTTTTTCTCTTTTTCACATTATGATTAAAAGTAATTAAGATTTGTATATTTTGTTTGTTTAATTGTTCTTGTGTGTTCTGTAGGCCAATTGTTGGAACTAAAATAATGATATGCGTGATATGAAACCATTTCCCTAAAAACATTATTATTATTATTATATTCATTTTCAGGTAAAGTAAAGAGGATAAAGAATGAATGAGATGTGAATGAGATTTATTAAAATTATTATGTTATAAGTATATTCTTATTATAGATGTCATAAATATGCTCTTTCTCTTTATATATATATATATATATATATATATATATATATATATATATATATATATATATATATATATATATATATATATATATATATATATATATATATACCTAGATAGATAGATAGATTTGAGCCTTTATTATTCTTATCAAAACTAGTGCACCTATTATCGCACTATCGAATTGTACTTTTTGCCTATTATGTAATCGTTTTCATTGTTATCATTGACTCATAAAATATCTTGATTGGTTTAGTAATTTCGTATATGCATCTAAATGTTACTGTATATTAGAGTAAAGCCTGATGAGGATCTAATCGAAAACAATATTGTGCAATTATATATGTTGTTCTAAATACATATATATTAGTTTAATTCATTTATTGAGCATGTATTGAGTAGTTTTGAGTAGGGAGATTATTTTTTAACTGAATTTATCTACAATATATTGTAATGATATTTGATTATTACATTATAAGTATAGATAATATCATTTAGCTTCTTGATATGAATACATTATATCGTAATAAATTGTTGTTCAATATATATGAAACAGCAATTATAAACATATTGGACTATATTTATATTGACGTTTTTATTGTGAAGGGAAACACACTTCCTCTACTATAACTGCATATAAGTAAAATTTCAAATGTACCTGACCAAACTAGAAGAGCGGTTTGTTAAAAATGCTCCGTAATTTCGTAATTCTGAAGCAAAAGATCCAATCAATGTGATTATTATAATACACAAATTCAGAATGAAACAGTTTCTTAACTAGGTGACGCTTGTGAAAAGATTGTTTATTCCGAGCTAGACGTTTTCCATATATTATATTGTACACTGAATAAAGACATACAATATGAATATTGAAAGGTTAAATAATCAACCTATAACTTTCCGGTTACCCTTTTAAATATTACTTAAGGTAGGCTATCAGGTAGCAGAATTCAATGTAATGACCTTGTATACATATTTTGATGTAGTAATCATCAACTATGTGGCATATTGACTTGAAAGATTCATTAGAAGAGCTCATACATTTATAAAGTAGAAGTTGGTAATCAGAAATGATTCATTTAAGATCCTAGTTTTAAAGTGTTTGATCATCATATTTCGATAGAGTAAAACAATATATCAACAGTCGATAGTTAATTGATAAATACTCTATTTGATTTATTAATAATTTGGCAAAAATCGTTTTATAAATCAAATAAGTCTATTGAATACTGTCATACTGAACCGACTAAAAATTATGAAATAAATAAATTACATTTACAAAGTTATTTGGCTGATTGCAACTACACTGTTTATTATTGCCTTATCAATAGCTACGAATAGTGCGTTAAAATGTCGCTTATATTAACGTCGAATTCACTATTTTTAAAATGGTGTACGATATAATTACTCTACGGTAACATTTAAAAGACACAATTTAATGAGTTAACACCATGTTCGATAAACTTATCAAT